TATACTAGGAAGCAGTTGGGTAGACTTTGAGGCTCTGATGTATAGGGTGGTCAGCAGGGGGCAGGTGAACTCAGGTGTCCGCAACTCAGAAGGGTAAATGCTGACCTCCCTGGGTAAATGGGTGGGTGGGAAGCTTAGAGGCCAAGCATTAGTGGGTGAGAGGCCTATCAGACACTCGAGTTTGGAGAATCTGAAGAGTGTGAAGCATGGGGAATCACCTCATTGGGTGAGTGGGTAGCAGACAAGTGGGTCAACAGGCTATCACCACAGCTATGCAAATGCTGACCTCATGAAGTGGACAGTTGAGCACTGGACAGTGTTTTAGAGAAAAGATCCTACAATGTGGCACTGGCTGGCTTAGGTACATCAGTGTAGTGTTCTTAGGCAGATGCTGTCAAATACATTCTTAGGAGCATGATATCCTCATGGAAGCCCTTGCCTCTAACAGTAATCTATTTTTCTTTTTTCTTTCTTTCTTTCTCTCTCTTTTCTTTCTTTCAGTTTTGAATTTTATTAATTTAAATGCTAGCCATGAAGCAAGGCTTTCTTTTTTATTAATATGTAAGTACATCATCCCCCCTTCACCTCCATGGAGTCCCTTCCATACCACATTCCCTTTCAAACTTATGGCTGCTTATGCCTTACTGCTGTGATATACCTATAAACAAATAAATATATAGACTCAACCAGCTGAGTACATTTGGGTAGCTTGTATATATAGATAGACAGAGAGATTTCATGGGTGTATCATTCTGGTCATGTCTAGACAACTGTAACGTTGAGATAACATTGATAACTTGTACATCACCTTCTGATATTATGAAAACTAGGCTTCAGGGAGAGTCTTCTGGGTCAGATTCAGCTTTCTTTCTCTGAGTCCTGTGTGGTGTCTTCAGCAAAGGGAACCTTCAACTTCTGGGGCTCAAGCAAGGGCAACAGCGTTGGCCTATATATATTTTGGAGTGTGTCTTGGACTCCCTTCACCAACAACTCAAAAGAAGTTTCTTATGCCTGACAATGAAGAGTCTCTGGTTCTATGGCTCATAATGGAGCTATTATCAACCATATGAAGTGCCCTTAGTTCATTTAAACTGTATACATATGTACAGATGTATGCATATATTATATAATTTAGATAATGGGACTTTGATAATAGTCTAATTTTCTCTTGTTTGGATATTAACTCTTTCTCCAGGGTAATCCTTGTGTTTTCTGGAGTATCTGAGCCAGAGTGATTCTGAGAAATGTTCTTACCTTACAAATCTAGTCAGCATTATAGAGGATGCTTGCCAGAGTTCTCCCACAATTTTCCTGGTGTGATGGCTGTATACACAATCTCTTGGAAGCTCTGATTCTTACTTTGTCCTGATTTCCAACCTAATCATCCCAGAGGCTGCAGTACAGGGAAGTGCACAACTTGGGCATCTGAAGAGCAGAAAGCTGGGGTCACTGTACTCTTTGGAGTCTGCCTACCATAGAGGCCATTCTCCTCCTATGCTGAGAGGGAAATTACAGTTAGTTGACACTCTCTGTTCAAATCAGCCTTTTCCATCCATCATCCAGTGTCACTCCCTCATTATGGAATAACTATGCAATGGGGTCAGAGGCCTTGAGGACCTACAGGCAACTTAGTAAAGGGCTCACATAAGGTTGAGGACTCTGCCAGGAGACAAGTTGCTTCTTTTACATTTTATGTATAGGTCTGTCCTTTTAAGGTTGATACCATTTTGGTATCATCTTAATGAAAATAAAGGAATTTAAAGAAGCCTTTAAACTGATAACAAAGGTTGCAAATTTTAACTACACAATAGAATTGGAGTTTGAATTGAATTGAGTGTGAGGAAATTGCTAGGAGCAAGAGAAGCCTGAGCTAGAGGCCTCTTTATGTCTGGTCATCAGTAGAAGCAGCAGCCAGAAGAAGGGAAGAAAGGCAATGCTGGCTCCAAAGCAGGACAGGGGCAAGTCCTGCTTCCCTGTAACAACAAACACCAAGACTCTGTCATGCTGTAATTAATGAGCATAAATTCTCTCTTCTCTGCTCCATTCAGCTTTCTACCATCCAGAGCCATGAGTTGGGCCTCCGGCTTTGACAAATTCTTTACGAATTTTAAGAGGGAAAGCAAAATCCTCCCTGAGGATACCATTACCCTGATTAAATACTACGTAGAGAAAATGGATCTTCAGAAAGCAGTTTCTGTAATCAGTAATGTACTGAAAGACATCAGTAATGCTCCTCTGAACATCGCCGTGACTGGGGAAACAGGCACAGGGAAGTCCACTTTCATCAACGCCCTGAGGGGGGTGGGACAGGAAGAAGAAGCTGCAGCCCGCACTGGAGTGACAGAGACAACCCTGAAGAGAACTCCATACCCACACCCAAAGCTTCCCAACGTGACAATATGGGACTTGCCTGGCATTGGGTCCACTACCTTCCAGCCAGAAGACTATCTGAAAAGAATGAAGTTTGGTGAGTATGACTTCTTCATTATCATCTCGGCTACACGCTTCAAAGAAAATGATGCACAACTGGCCAAAGCCATTGCCAAGATGAAGATTAATTTCTACTTTATCCGAACCAAGATAGACATTGACTTATATAGTGAAAAGCTGAGTAAACCCAAGTCTTTCAATAAGAATGCAATCCTGAGGAAAATTCGAGAAGACTGTTCAAGGAATCTTAGGAAGGCTCTTGTAAGTGAGCCTCCGATCTTCTTGATCTCTAACTTTGATATGGCTGACTATGACTTCCCGAAGCTGAATAATGCACTCCTAGAAGATCTCCCACCCCACAAGCGCCACATCTTCATCCAGTCTTTGAGAAGTGTTACTGAAGAGATCATTAACCAAAAGAAAGATGCTCTGAAGCAGATGGTCTTCCTAGAGGCAGTGAAGGAAGGAGCATTGGCCATGGTTCCATTTGTTGGCACGATCAGAAGTCTCACAAGGAATCTGGATCGAAAATTCAATCTCTACAGGTCTTCCTTTGGGCTGGATAATGCCTCATTGGAAAACATTGCCAAGGATTTCAACATGTCTGCAAATGAATTCAAAGCAAACCTTTGGTCTTACCATTTGTTTGCAGAAGACAACAATGAATCCTTAGAGGAAAAGCTCTGCAACTATGTGAAAAATTTTACTGTGCTTTTTGGTGGGCCACTTTTTGCTGGCTATTACTACAATATGGCTTACTATATGCACAATCTGTTTCTTGATGCTGCAGCAAATGATGCCATAGCTCTTCTTAATAAGGAAGCTCTTTCTGAAAGGAAGGTGGGACCATATATATCTAAGGCCCCTGATTACTGGGAATAATGAGAAAATGAGGCACAAATTCCAATCAGTGTTTACTTTTGGCCTCACTTTGGGCACTGACTCTTAGCCTACTCCAGCGAAACAAACCTTCTCTGTGGAGAGCCAAGGGGTCATTCTTTGCCTCTCCTGGGGTCAGAAGATCACTGTGGAAGGCACTCAAGTTTCTGTAGTAGTAGAAGTAGATGAGTCTTCAGCGTTGTGCAAATATGTGAGGAAACCTCATTTTCATTAAAGTCTATGTTTAAGAAACACATGGTAGTATAGATTGGCTCTTCAATGTTGTTGTCAAATGAAACCTGGAACTTTTACCTCTGTGAAAGTCTTCACATGCTTCTGCATTCTCACAGACAGCTCTGTTTGCTACATTGCTTTGAGGGGTTTTTGAAACACGAGCATCTGTGCCCAACACTGTGTAGACAAACACGCCTCTTTTGGAGGTGTCTCCCACACACAGGAGGCACAAAACAGATGGGTATTGTGACCATTAGCCAAGTTCCATCCGGAAGGAGCTCGTTTAAAAAAAAAACAAAAACAAAAAACAGAGATGACTGAACACATCTGTAGATCCTCTTGGTCCTTGCAAATGAGGACATCTATTTCATCTCCCTTGTATGAGGTGCAGTGTGAAAACTTGACACAGACATGCAACTCATAATGACCAAATCTAGGTAGTTATAGTGTACATATCCTCAAGCATGTTTTAATTATCTGATTCACATGTATTATGTCCATATTAATGAGGACAGTGTTGCATTCTAATGTATACATAGCATGTATACTGTGTGTTTTTTTCCTCTTCCTGAAGCTGTGATAAAATACCCTGACAAAAGCAACTTAATGGCGAAAGGATTTACTCCAGCTCATAGATAAGAGGTGTGGTCCCCATGGCAGGGGAGTCATGGCAGACACTTGAAGCATCTGGACACATCACGACCGCAATCAGAGGTTGCAGAGACAGCAGAGAGATAATGCCCAGCTCCTTTCTTCGTTTATACGGTCCAGGGTCTCCTTCCATCCACAGTTACAGTGGAGCCTCCCACATCAGTCAATGTAATCGAGGTAATCCCAAGCAGAGATGCCCAGAGCTGAGTGTCCAGGACATTCTAGATGTTGTCAAGTTAACAATTAACACTAATCAGCACATGTAATAACCAAACCAGGGTTGTTTGGTTACCCCTATACTAACAGAGCTTTGTCATTAGTGTCTTTGAGCACCTCTATTTTACTTATTCATAATATGTCCAGAAGATTATTTTAAATAATGCTCTGGTACAATAGATTTTCTTTATTCCTTCCATCTACCTCTTTAGTACCTGTTATCCAAACTCTCTTTGGCCCTCTACACTCTTTCCTGCCTATAATAAATACCTTTCTACACTCAGTTCAGCCATTGGCACATGTAAGAACAAACATTGATACTTTCTGATTTTCCTTCCATTGAACAGACTGCCCTTGGTGGCCCTGTACCTGCCCCTACAGCTACAGATCACCTGCCCCTACGGCTACAGCTTACCTGCCCCTACAGCTACAGAGGTTCCCACACCTATCCTATAGCCTAAATGAATGTGAACATTTGGGCAGATGTGCCCTCCTGCCTCCCTGGCATATGCACCTCTGACTTGATGCCCAACTTTAGCTCAGCCTTTAGTCTACTGCTGGGTAATACTTTGGGTCACAGAGGAGAGCTGTTGCTGCCATGTTGCAGAAGAAAGTTGTCAGCGCCCGGCATGGGCTAGGAAGGGACTCTAGACATCCCCAGCATAGAAACATGGCTCTGGCAGGCCCTTTCCTCCATACCCTTTGCCTGTTAAAGTCAGCAGATTAAAAAGATATATATTAATAAAACAAAAAATAAATAAATAAATAACCCAGTAGATTAGATATTAGAATGGATATTCCTGCGTGAACAGGGAACAGGACAGGAGCCTGCCACAGAGAGCCTCTGAAAGGCTCTACCCTGCAGGGTATCAAAGTGGGTGCTGAGACTTATGGCCAACCTTTGGACAGAGTGCAGGGAATCTTATGAAAGAAGTGGGAAATGGTGAGACCTGGAAAGGACAGTTGCTCCACAAGGAGAGCAACAGAACCAAAAAAATCTGGCCCCAGGGGTCTTTTCTGACACTGATACTCCAACCAAGGACCATTGATGGAGTAAACCTAGAACACCTGCACAGAGGTAGCCCATGGCAGTTCAGTATCCAAGTGGGTTCCCTGGTAAAGGGAACTGGGACTGTCTCTAACATGAACTGATTGGTCTGCTCTTTGATCACCTCCCCCTGAGGGGCAAGCAACCTTACCAGGACACAGAGGAAGACAATGCAGACAGTGCTGATGAGACCTGATAGACTAGGATCAGAAGGAAGGAGAGGAAGACCTCCCCTATCAGTGGACTTGGGGAGGGGCATGTGAGGAAAAGGAGGAGGGAGGAGGCTACAGGGGGATACAAAGTGAATAAAGTGTAATTAATAAAAATTAAAATAAAGAATATTAAAAAGAACAGTAGTTTAAGGTCCTAACGATACCTCCCAAGATCTGTTCCCGTATGTGGCAGCTTCCTCCTCCCAAGGCTGATTACCAACATACAGCTATCAAAGTATTGCAGTCCAGCAACCAAAAGCTCCCTTTGACCCCCCTAATTAACATTCCTAATTAAAATTAAGCACCTCATCCTAACACGGGTTTCTCGTTTTACCTCTATAAACTAACATTTGCCTAGGAGCCACATTTATCTCCTCTCTATACAGAGACAGTCCTTTGTCCCTCTTCATGACAAATACCCTTTCCCCACTCTCTTCTTCTCTTTCCTTTCTCCCTAGTCCTCTGTCACCTGTCTTTGTCTCTGTTCCCTGCCATTTGACCGTCTGGTACAAATAAATCTACTTTGTGCTGAGAATTTGTTCTTGTGGGTCCTGAGCTGGTCCCTTTCAGCCTGTCCTTGATGAAGTCTGTCTCTGAGAAGGGGAGCATCTTGGTCCTATCTACAGGCAAGTACAAATACATGTCAATTCCCATTGGTGACAATACACTTCTGTCTACTCCACCTGAGGCATTTTGCTAGTCCCCTGAGATGAGGATTTGACTGTTCCACTAACCGGTGAGAATGGCTGAGTGAGCAGAGATTGTGGGAGAGGGGCTCACGCTATTTTCTCGAGCCTCTGTCTCTGATTGTCTGGAGACACAGTCATCGCTTCTCCCGACTGTTCACACATCCTGTCACATTCTGAGTGCTGTCCTGCCTAAGCCCTGACCATAAAGTCCTCCTTGGTTTCATTGTGGGAGTCACAGCACAGTTCCAGAAGTTGAAGAACTGGAGTAAAGCAACTGACTTCATCATGCCTGCAGCTCTGACCCATGTTTCTGTGACAGTGTATCATGAAATGAGGAGGGGGAAAAGAAGAGAAGCCTGCCTTAGTCCCTGGGTAGCAAGATACCAGAAGCATATGCTTTAGAGCCTTGGTGTCCCAGTGAGACCAGCAAGGAGAGAGTGAGTCAAGGTCACGTGTGGGAACAGAGTCTGTGAAAAACCAAATCCGCTCACCTCAGAGCTAGGACACCTCCACTGTGTCTGGGAGGAACACCAGGATTCTCTCTGTAGTTACAAAGGAAACCGAAGGCGGCCACCATCCTGGGGCCACCAAAGGTACAAGGCTCCGTGCCCAGTGCATATGTGCAAGAGGATGTGACTGCGCGTAGGTTTGCGCAGGGTGAGTCTGCACGTGTGTGTGTGTGTGTGTGTGTGTGTGTGTGTGTGTGTGTGTGTACCCATGACCCAGGACTGGCAGCTAAACACTGACCTCTACAGTTAACAGTGAGGTATAAAGAGCAGCAGGTTCAGCAGGCTCTCGGGATGGTGAAATACAGTGGGAAATGACTAATGATCAAATCCATATTAGGACAAGAGTGTTAAGCACATGAGTGAAAAGGCAACACAGAGACACTTCTCACGTACTGCAGAACCCAAGAAAGCAAGGTGAGAGACAGCTGCCATGTGCGTTTGGCAATGACTGACTTTTCCCTAACTTTCTACAACGAATTAATAATTACCCAGGAAAACGAAAGGCTTACTTTCAATGTGGTAACTTGGAATAGTTTCAGCTGTCCATCGCTGCAAACAGCAGGGGAGGCTGTGAAGCTCTGCACTTGTGGTCATTTAAACACTCAGTGATGGCTGATTCATCCCATTGGCCTGCAAATGTATACAAGACAAACAATGAGAAATGCCATGGAAACCTAAAATTAGCTCTAGTTTGTGAACATTGGTATGTGTCTTTGTATGTATGTGTGAGCAATGTGTGTGGGTGTGTAAAGACATATAATTGGGTACCTTGGATTACACTGAGCCCTCTCCAGACAGAAAAAAATAACCTTTCGGTCTGGCTCTCTTTTCACGATGTTGTTAAAAAGAGTGTCTGTCTGCTCCTTCACCTGAGAAACGAGCAGTGCAAGGCAGGGACAAGCAAAGTCCTGCTGTGGATAAAGAATAATGCCATCCATGCACAGGACCTGCCGAATGGGAGCTGAGCAAAGCCTACACGGCAGCACCTCTGGTCATCATCCCATCACCACGCCCCAAGTCAGCATTGCTTTATACTCATCAAATAAACGCAACTGCCCAGTGGAACACCAGCGCTTGCTCTAGTGACCAATTGCATGCTGTGTGAGGCTCTGAGTTTCACTCTCAGAAACTAAGAAAGAAAGAAAATGTCAGCTCTCCTGGCAGGGGCGGGGAGGGCTGTGAGCTAGAAGACTGAGTGAGGGAAGTCTCAAGGGAGGCCAGGAGTCTGAAGAAAGAGAAAATCCGAGATGAGCACACACTGTTCTTAAAGAGGGAGCAGAAGTATCTGAGAAAAACAAAACAAAACACATTATTTCTCTCATCTTCCTTCCACATGTGGTCACAGGAATCTCAAAGATTCCCCACAGGTTGAGTCCAGTTCGCCTCCTGTAGCTATCCTTTAACTATTCCACTCAGCCCTGAGCTCAGCAAGGCCAGTCATGAG